CTTTTTATAAGTTCTTGGAACAATTTATGACTGATAGACATCAGGAAAGCCAGTTGAATCAGTAAAACGTTTTTTTGCCACTTTGTCTCACACATTGAGTTAATTTTTCTGTCTCCGTCTGTCATCTTTCAATTAGTCCTCAACTGTTGTTCCAGGAAAAAAAGCGTAATCTGTGTTTTGTACTGGCGACTCTGGAGCTTTTGTAGATTTTCCTGCCCTGATGTACACAGAACACTTTATTACCCAATTCCAGTTTTTTACAATCTGATGTAGCAACAAAAATGTGAAAAGTACAGCTTTTATGTTACTAAGACAAAAAGTTACTGGTTTTATGTTAGACTTAAATAAATGTTAGTGCATTTGGGTCCATCATGAAGGGAGATTCATGCAGAGTTAAACGGTCATAAGGTGAATGATAATTATGAGGTAAGCATGGTGCACAAACATTGAGTCGTGCATTGATTATGGAAGCTTTATGACACATTTTCTCTTATTAAAGATCTTTTACTTCTAATTCTAGTCTTCGCTGCTCTTTCGCTTCCTGTAGTTGGTGTCGGAGGTCAGCTACTGAGTATCCTTCAGCTTCGTGTTCCAGAGCACTCCTAAATCTGAGTACAAAACAAACTGGTAGTAAGACAGCACACAGACTCTGTAAGGTCATACTCACAGAGCAGGTTCTGGGTAAAACTTCAGGACGGCACTTGCATTAAAGTGAGTCATATTTGAGTGACATAAGAGCCAGCAAATGCTAAAGACATTAAACTTTTAAAAGTTTTTACAATTTTTTCTAAAAAAAAATTATTTTAACAAATGTGAAATTGTCAATTTCAATGTGAATTTTGATTCCTAATGGATTATAAAATAATAAATTATGGGTGTTTACAACACTTTTTACATCTTCTTCAGTGAACCATAAATCGGCTGATTAAAAATTTTCCTTAGAATAAATAAAACAAAACAATGGTGGACCTTGTGTCTCTATTTAGCTTTTCCTCTTTTACATAAATCAGCTGTGGCTCACCCTACAAACATTATCATCTTAATGTAATTCTCTAACTTACTTACAGATGTAGAAAACTTATTTAATCAGTACATTTACAGGTTTTGGAATCTTATTTCTTTATACTCGGACATCGTGCTCCAGACTACATAACAGCAACACAACTCTGCCACTGACCTGCATACATGATGTTTTAGCTTCACAAATAACACAAGCCTGGAGGAGTTCTGCTATGTGGTAGAGTTGCTAATGCTAATGGTTAGCTTCTACTCTGCTGTTTCCTGGACGCTAAACCAACAACAGCCTTCCCCAATGCGAGTCAAGATGGGTGAGTCCATGAATGTTAAGTGTCAGTGTGATGTAGATCTGTCCTAGAGTCTATTTTCTATCAGAAGCTAATGCAGGAGATAGGTGTAGGAGACTATTTTCATTTTCAACCTGCATGAAAACTCAGAGGGACCCATTATAATCCGAAATAATGAATAAACAATGAGTGGTGAGATGGTGTTTCACCTTCTCCACTCTGTCCACATGAGGTGCTGCACGTTGGGTACCTGATTGAGGGGCGGGGCAGAGGGAATAAAGAGGATTGCTGTATCTGTCTTTGTCCTTCTGTGTCTGCTGCTGTGTGGTGGTGTGAGGAAAGATAACTCAAAGTACTATTGTCAGTATAAACCAGGCATCGATGCCCCAAGAGGTATTCTCTAAACTTCTCAGTCATGGCCCACTTCAAGGCCAGAAACTCCAACTTCATAGAGCTCTTAGTAGCCACCTTACGCTCTGTGGGTCTAAAACCCCAGCTGGCATATGCGTTAGGCTTCACTCCATCCTGAGTCTGCACCCAGCCCACTGTGGCTGGCACCAGTTTCAAGAATGAAGGGCTTAGAAAAATCAACACATGCCAACACCGGCGCAGATGTCAGTCGTGTCTTGAAGGCCTCAAAACTCGCTTCATACTCAGGGGTCCAGGCTGCTTTAAAATGTTGGGCCAGGGCCCTTTTCACTTTGAGCCCACTAGTTGTTCCACCAATCTGTGAAGGGGGTTAGCCAACTTAGCTAAACCATCCGCAAAGCGTCTATAATACTGTAGCTGGTGAAACCCGAGAATGAGTGAAGCTCTGAAACTTGACTGAGAAGTGGCCACTGGGCCACTGCCTCAATCTTAGCGGGGTCTGTGGCCACATCTTTGTCCGAGGCGCTACGTCCCAGCTGTCACCAACGGTTTTTCAGTGTTCCACACCTTTAAACATATTTAAGGTCTTTAAAACGTTATTAAGAACTAATTGGGATCATACATTTAATTAATCGAGGGACATGATTGCTACATTTTATGCAGTTGTGTCCGATCCAGATGCAGTTGTTCCAAATAAAAGGATCTGATCGTGTGTAAAGTCAGTTAGAACATGAAGAAGAAGCGTGTTCTGGATGCTCCTTGTAGTTTAATGGCCCACATGGAAAAACATGTGACCAACCAAGATTCTACTTTGTGGAAAGTTTTGTTCAACACTGGAGACAAAGAATCAAATCAATTTCTGTTCAGGATAAATCCTTTTTCATTCAGGATAAATCCTGAACAGAAGGCATTTCCCCCATTTTTACTAAAATAATGGCTGAATTATACAAAATACCCAGAATGAACCACATGTTAGGTAGCGCGACTCAGGGTTGCGAATAACCACAGTCACCAATTCTTGTCATGTGTCTTGCCCATGTATGTCTGATCTCTGAATTGTGTGTACTGAAACTCTAATTTCCCTCTGGGATTAATAAAGTATCTTTGAATTGATTTGATTTGAGTTAAATAATGATTTATTCTTGCACTTCCTGTTTTGGGTCCAAACCAACCAACCAACCAACCAACAAACCAACCAACAAACAAACAAACAAACACACAATCATACAAACACAAACAAACAACAAATCAAACCCGTTAGGATTAAAATGAAGCATGTTGTATTGTTCAAAACTTGGATTTTCATTTGTTTTTATTGCTTGAAGTCCAAAAATCACAGGTGACTTTCCAGAGCTGGCATCAGAGAGCGTTGTAAACCGTGTTTGTTTGTTTAGGATAACATGATCAGACACGAGTCTGGTCTAGCTCAAGGGTTTATGAGAAGAGAAATGCATAAATGATTGGACTGATGTGTTAATCCAAGATTTCTGGTATAAAACATGTCAAAATCCTCTCAAAGGGCATCGTTAAAAAGTGGTTTATTGTGTTGTTTACTTTTCTACAGATCACCAAACCATCTGTTTGGTGGGAGTGAAAACGACACACTTTGCCCGACTCTGTGCCTGTTTTCCATCTGCCTCACCGATGAGTCCTCTCTGCATCTTATTTCTCCCTCTGTTGCATCTGTCATTCAGGAGGTCCACCGTCAGTGAGCAGACTGGGATCCTTTCTAAACCAAGAGATAAATTTACATGATGCATTGATTTGTGTGAACTAATGCACGTTCTGGAAAACCTTCTGCACCATAAAACACATCTTGTGAATGATTCAGACCGAGCCTCTCTTAATTGCTGCATCTGTTGTGTAAGCAGCGCGTTTTCCATCCTGCAGTGGAAAGAGTGATTGTGTTGAGTTTTATTGCATCATAATAACCCTCAGAGCTCTCAGTCTGCAGAAACGTCCTCTTGCTGTTCAGTTGAATTCAACGTTTTTAAACGCGCCTGTGGTGTACGACTTATTCTTCTTTGACCCTACATTTAATTTGATTCTGACCCAAATTCCACAAATCCACACAGAAACAGGCAAAACTCTCACACACATTTCTGCCAATTGTCTCAGCAAACACAGCTGCTCCAGCAGAACTCTGCTCGGCCAGACTGACCTTGTAGATCAGCAGCAGCAGTGGCCACTTTCTGCCCAGCATCACATTCATTGTCTGCATGAATGTAATGTCCCCAGCTTTTATTTTTCACAGAAAATTCTCATTTATTCTTTAGAAATTAGAACAAAGTGAGTTTAACCCTCCCACTGTCTTTATGGGTGACCCCGCGAGGAAAGTTGACCATTGAGCAGGACTGATGGTTTTTCCCTTGAGGTCCACGTGGCAGGGGTGAAGAGTGAGCACCACCTATCTATCTATCTATCTATCTATCTATCTATCTATCTATCTATCTATCTATCTATCTATCTATCTATCTATCTATCTATCTATCTATCTATCTATCTATCTATCTATCTATCTATCTATCTATCTATCTATCTATCATCTATCTATCTATCTATCTATCTATCTATCTATCTATCTATCTATCTATCTATCTATCTATCTATCTATCTATCTATCTATCTATCTATCTATCTATCATCTATCTATCTATCTATCTATCTATCTATCTATCTATCTATCTATCTATCTATCTATCTATCTATCATCTATCTATCTATCTATCTATCTATCTATCTATCTATCTATCTATCTATCTATCTATCTATCTATCTATCTATCTATCTATCTATCTATCTATCTATCTATCTATCTATCTATCTATCTATCTATCTATCTATCTATCTATCTATCTATCTATTCATGTTTTCATGAAATTAGGGGAGAGGGAAAAATTATTTTCTTCAAAATTTTTATGTTTATTTTTAAGGATTTATAAAAATGTGAGAGGGAAGACGAGTTAGCTTTTAGTGACCTCTACTGGAGAGTTATCATTTTTGCACGCCACTCTTCATCACAAATACTCTGTCTCTTACATTGTCACAAATATGTTTATTATATTTTTATCAGCTTGCAAATGTCAGTCTGGTGATTTCCTATAAGACACACTGTTCATGTCTAATCCTTTAGGCCCTTGGCCTTTTTTCTTTGGGCCCTGGCACCTCCCAATTGGGGGCCTTTGGAGTTTCATGTCCCAAGTGCAAGTGCATGTTTGCATTCCCCGAGCACAGCTACAGCTACAATCCAAACAGCTTAGACTGCAAACAAAGCAATTTTTGGTTTTTGATACATTAAGATAAAATAATACTTGAACTTTATTTTAGAAGAGCTGCCCTGTGTGAAAGTGCTGACGGGATGGAGGTTGTGAGTTCAAATTCCATTTAGGAAATTTAGTCAATTGTTTAATTTATTCCAGGGGTCCTCAACAAAATTTGTTCAAGGTTTTTTTTCTCCCAGCAGACACCAGAGAAGGTCAGATGCTGTTCTAAAATAACGTTCAAATATCATTGTATCTTAATTTATTACAATTTAAAATGGCCTTGTTTCCTATCTGGGCTGATTGATTGTGGTTTTAGTTGTATTTGGAGAATGTGGACAGTTGTAGATGTTTGGGAAATTGTAGAGGCCCCCAATTGGGGCGCGTTAGGGTTAAACAGGCTAAATCACATTTCACGATGAAACAAAATTCTGACTTTAATCTCAGAATTCATTATTTTGTGAAAAAAGGCAGAATTTAGATTAGAGTTTATTTTTCTCTTTGCTTGTTTTTCTTTCCCATGGCTCTAATCCTCTTCTGTATGTGTCTGCTGCTGATTGCATGTGTAATTAAACACATTCATGTTGATAAAGTGAACTGTGAATGAGTTTAGATTTGTCTGAAGCTTGTTTTCATTCCTCTGATGACCCGTGGGATGTGTTTTGGGAACATGGCTCTCAGGTATGCCGTGGTCAGACTGGCAGCTCCTCCAGGTTTGTGCACCTCAGTGCCAGTCTGTGTGGGCAGCAGGATGGTTGCTTGGAGGAGCGGTGTGAGACAGACGGACCTCAGCTGGCTTCAACACAGAAAAAAACATCAAGTACCTCCTAAATACAGATTTTTTTATATTTTAGAACAACTAATTTTATCAATAAACCAAATAAAATGAAATGTGAGAAATGGCAGAGGTGAAGTCTTCAAGAAGTTCTGGGGTCATTATGATCTTCTCGAGTTTAATTGTCTCCGAAACAACAAAAACGAAGTCAAACTTTATGATTTAATGATTAACCAGCAGCTAGAGGCTGTTGCGGGGTTTCCTGCATGTGCACGGTTCTGTCCTGGCTCCTTTCCCCAGCAGCATCTCCAGCAGAAGGCTGTCCATTCTAGCTTCACCAAGCTGCTGTGTCAAGCGGAGAGTCTCCACCATCTGCCAAGCAACTCTTTGCAGGGGGGGGGGGGGGGGGAGCATCAGGAGAAGCTACCCCAACCTTCCCTGCTACTCACTCACTGCTTCTTCAAGTAGAACGTGAGCCTGGAGACGCAAGCGTCGGATCGTCTGAGGGTTCTCCAGCCCTGGACAGTCTGATGGACAAAAACAAGGACAGAAGTTGAGCCAAATGAAAGCTTTTGAAAGTGGACTGACCTGGGGCAAGGAAAGCAATGGCTTGGAGGCAGGCAAGCTTCTTATCTGTGATGCCCAGTTCCCTGAGAGGCTTGACCAGCTCCGCCTGGGTCCTGCGAGCCACTCATGCCACCTCCAACTCTGCCCCCCTCAGAGGGATCACAAAGTCATTTCCTGATCAAAATCCCAGAAATAAAGTTCTTTTAGAAACATGCAGCACACCACTTGAACGATAAAAGGGGGTAATAGCACTTTTTTCTGTCCCACCTGGAAGAATCACATTGTTGTAAGTAAGGGAGTGAGCGTCTTGCTGCTCCCAGGATGAGATGTTCTGCTGAATGGGTTTGCAGCAGGGTGACCTTTACGCAAACGTGTATGTAAATATTACACCCCCTGATAAAAGAATGTGTAAGAGCGGTCTAGTCCACACTGTCATCCGTCTGAAGATGGCAGAACTCTGGGATGTGTTTGGCCCGTTCCACCAGCAGGAGGAGTTGCTGCTTCATGGATTGGAACACGTCTCCCACACATGTCCTCTTCTTGGAGCTGACATGACTCTGAGGTGAAGGCAGCGCTGGGATCTGAAAAAGCATCAGAATAAGTTCAATGTTAGCTCAGTTTGAATTGTGCTGCTCATCTGTGTTAAACGTTTATTTAAAATACATTCTTGCTATTTTGAAGTATTTAAAGGCATATCATGCAAACTTTTCATGTTGTAAATCGTTTTCTTGAGCCAGACTATGCTAAAACGACCCTTTACGGCAGGGGTATTCAAGTCCGGGCCTGGACGGATCGGTACCCAACACATTTTAGTTTTAAACTCTGTTTCAACACACCTGATTTCAATCAGCAGGTCATTAACAGGCTTCTGCAGACCCTGATGAGCTGCTGCGCATGTGATTCAACCACTAAATCAGCAGAGAAACCACTAAAACGTGCTGGATACCAGCCCTCCAGGACCGGAAGTGAATACTCCGGCTTTACGGGGTTAATGAAATGTCACCTAGACCTCCACTCAGAGGGCGACATCGTCCACTGCTGCCCATCGATAAACGGAGATGGAAGTGACGCCACCAACATCAACGTCACTCTGCGGAAGGCTACAGAGTTATCCAAAACTTTTCAGCAGAAAAAGGTAAAAATACATCTTTATTACGCCGTGTGCATAAAAAAAACCCAATAATGGATTGTTTCCTGCATGTTTTACATCATGACTACAGCGGATTTGTTTGATTTAGTGATGAATCTCTCCTGTAGACACTAATGAAGGCAGAGGAGACATTTGAGTTGTTAGATGAAGGTGTTAAAAATATTTTGAAGAAAATAATTTTTCCCTCTCCCCTAATTTCATGAAAACATGAATAAATAGATAGATAGATAGATAGATAGATAGATAGATAGATAGATAGATAGATAGATAGATAGATAGATAGATAGATAGATAGATAGATAGATAGATAGATAGATAGATAGATAGATAGATAGATAGATAGATAGATAGATAGATAGATAGATAGATAGATAGATAGATATTTTTATTCGGTCAACAACAACAATTTATCAATTTTACATAAAAGTAATCAAGCAACTGAAAAATGAACAGGTTGAAGCCTAGTGGCTCATAATTAGCCTATCCTTAACTCCCACAGAGATAATCAAATCCTTAACAAAGAGAAAAAAGTAGGGCTGATAGATAAGATGCATAACATTTAAAGAAAAAGCAACGATAAATCAAGAAATCAAATCAACACAAGGTTAGACATCAAAGTAAAAAAGAGGAACGCAAAGCGAGGAGATAAGTTACACTTTCGGTTTTGCAGCAGTGAATTAATAACGGACTCTAGGGGGTGCTAATAGCAAGCAAAAACTGCACAGTTTTGCTTTCAAATAATCACCACCTGTTGTAGATAGCTTAAGTATTTACATTCATGCTCTTCAGAGCTGATGAGCTAATGGCTAATCTGATCACAGCCAGGATCAAAGTACTGTTGCCTTGTTAAAAACGCAATTCATGTCATTTTATTTAGAAACTCATCATCTATGCATTACATGGTTGTTTTGGCTGAAATATAAAAAATAATTATAGTTGAACTTGGTTTTCAGATGCACCAGAAGTGCTTGCTGCAAATTTTCCTTGTAAAGAGTCAAACTGTTAAATAGGTAAATGAAACGGAGAGTGTAGTAAAAGTTAATAAAAACACTGCATGAACTTAAAAAATTAGATAAAAGTGGTTTTAAAGTGACTGTGTGTATTTTCCCCGGCGACAGGAGGCAGAACAAACCTGAATCATAGCAAGCAAACAGTATTTTTGTATTCAAGTAAGACCATCTATGGATGGCCAATAGGGTCAAAAGCCGCTGGGAGCGCAATTGCCGAACAAGTACTTCATCAGATTACTCAATCTCCGGAAAAACGACAAGCACATCAGACTTCCTTTCATCACTAGCAACGAGCAATGAGGTGAACGTTTAAAAAACAACAACGTTTTGTAACCGTTTATTACAAATCAGTCAATGCTTTTTGTCCTCACAGGCTCCCATAGAAGGAAACATCACATCTAATATGACGTGGCCCAGAAACTTAGACCTGCTCTGGTTATAGTATGTTACAAAGCAACTGGGCATCATCTAATTAGTTTTCAACAACATTTTGATGAATATTAACAGAGATTAATGGTAAAAACTACACGTTGTTACTCCAGGAAACACTTTTGTCTTGTACGGATAAGGAAATGTTGGTAGGGATGAGGAAGGCCCCTTCAGGGAGTATGGGACAGCCAACAGTGCTAACTTACTCCAATGCCATTTCAACCCCCAACTGTCAAAATCCATATTAAACACCATTCAGATTAATATTACAGCAGTTAGAAGAAAACCAGTCCACGCTGAAGTAGATTCTTGTAATTTACAATAAGTTAGACCTTTTTTGCATTAATCTCTCAGAGTTTGAGTGCTTTAACACAGAAAAAAGTACCTTCACAAAAGTTTTGGTCCAAATTATATCAAATTTTCCAAAATGTGCAGATTAACGAAAAAAATGAAAGGAAATTTGTTTATGTAGTTCCATTTAGTGACAGTCCTGTTTTAGTTTGATCCATAAGACAGTCAGCATACATTCATCTAAACCATTTCTGATGCGTATAGACACTCTTTTGAGTGTCATGGAGAAACTCATATCTGGTTGTTATTATGTACTTGAAGGCAACAGACCTCAGTGCCAGACCCAGTGGTGCAACAAATGGACTGTGATTAGATGAAATCCTCATGCAATTTTGTTCTTAACTTCAATTAGGAGAAACCAAATCCGCCGCGCTGGGAGCCCCCGCCTGAAACAAAACCCGAGTTCTTTTCATGTCTGACCTTCACCCAAGTGATTCCAAGAAAACCCGAATAGGGATCACTCGACAGTCAAACCAGAGTGAAATATCTGTTTTAGTGCCAGAACTTGTTTGTGGTACCTGTTGCACGCTGGTCTCAGCCTGCTGGAGCATGCCGACGAGGTCCTGCTGTTTGTCCCTTTGCTCTGGGAAAGCTGAGGGTGTCTCGCTCATCCTGAACCGCTGTTGATCTAACAGAAGATAAATTCCGACTTCAGTCCTGCACTCAGTGTAGCATCAGGGCATGGTTCATCATATGTGACTAATTGGAAACTTGATCCAAATTTGTAACAAGTACTGAACAATCTCTTGTAGATCATCAGCTAAGTGTAGATTTGGTGCAAACAGCCACTGAGTCCTCAAAGGTCAATAAAAATCAGGATGGAAGCTGGAGGTTTGTGTTTGCTTATTCGTTATTTCCACTGCTTACCTTCTTCAGGCTTAAATTTGTAAGTACTGTTGCAGCATGTTATGGAAATCAGGCAAATTAGTGAAGTAAATTTTAACTTTGGGACCCAAGCCTTCACTTCAGAGGGTTGGGAGTAACGCAAAAATAACTTTGTTCATGTGGGGAGAAAAGGCTCCTCTGATTTAATCAGTTTTTCTCTGTTTATCTGTGTCAGAGAGTGAAAGATAAGGTCAATGAAATGCACGCGCACACACACACACACACACGCACACACACACACACGCACACACACACACACACACACACACACACACACACACACACACACACACACACACACACACACACACACACACACACACACACACACACACATCTACGTACATGCACATAGACCCATGCGCATGCATGCACATGCACAAACACATGCACACACATATGCCTACACACATGCACATGCACATACACATGCACGTACACATGCACGTACACATGCACATACACATGCACGTACACATGCACGTACACACACATGTACACACACATGCACATACACATGCATGTACACACACATGTACACACACAGGCACATACACATGCACGTGCACACACATGTACACACACATGCACAAACACGCACACACATGCACAAACACGCACACACGCACACACACACACACACACACACACACACACACACACACACACACACACACACACACACACACACACACACACACACACACACACACACACACGCCTCTTTGGTGGTTTGTGTTTATTCTCCTTGAAAAAACATGACGTGTTTTAGGAACAAATGCTGAGAAGGAAATGTCAACAGTTTAAAACAATTCATGCAGGTTGTTGTGGTTTAATTTGATTCTGTGAGTTGAAAACTGAGGGGAGTTTTGTTATGAAGTAAAACAGGATTTAGTTAGTCTGCAGAAACGACCTTGATTCCTTTTGTCTTTGTCCACGACACACTGCCTGTTGAACCTGGACAATAGAAATCATGTGAAACACAGATGTACATAATTTAAAAAAGTCCTTTGATTTGGGAAAAAAAACTCAAGTTGCACAGATCTGCTGAACCAGACTCCAAATTTCTTCATTCATCAAAGAAGATTTAGGGCCAAGATGGGGACTTGTTACGTCTTTAGACAACTTGTCTTTTAATCATTTTAATTATGTAATTTTAATTTTGAACAATAAAATGTTATTTTCCTCCTTTTGGTCTTTAGACTCTGTCAACAGTGACTTAAGTGGCTGGATGAGCAGCTCTCTAGCAAATGACAGCATATGTCACCTGTTAGTGACATCACAAATGGGGACTTTTTGAAACTGTGTCTTTTAGAGACACAATTACTAAAACCAAACACTGACAGAAAACAGATGGATGAGTTTTTTTCAGTGTTTATAGAGACTGCAGAGACCCATATGTCAGCACAAAAGTCAGATAAAGGTAAGTACGGCCAAAAATGTCTATTTAAGCCAGAACCTCAAGTTTCTTGCACTCATAACTTAATATTCAAAGGTGACCTACCCCTCTTACAATTGTCTCACATTTCTCATCTGGACATTGTTCCAGATAGTGGCAACATCATTTCTCAATCCCTGTCTTGTTTTGTTCTCATTCGTTAAACTATTCCTCTTAAAGTTGCCCGTGCAGTTTGGACTACCTTCATCATCCTCTGGTGTAAGTTCTCATTGCTGCTTCATTGGATACTTTCCTTCATTAGTGTTTGATTTTGGTCCATTTTCTGTCTCCGTTGTCCACATTTATGGGTGCGTTGTGCACCCACCACGTGACACCCACCTACAGTTGTATGTGTGGTTGTTGCGGATGCTCCTCCTTAAGAAGCCCTTGCAGGCGTCACAGCTGGATGCACTACAGTGCTTACCTGTGGCGTTGTCTGCACAGATGCAACACAGACTTCCACCTGCGTCAGTCTGCGACACTGATGGAGACGGTGCTGATTCTGGCCGATCTAGAGAACAGAAAGATGCAAATAATACATAAAAAAATAACAATGTGATTCAGCTTGCCACAGAAGCTACTGTAAGAGATCAAAGAATACCGAGATGGAGATGATCCCTTCAGTCATTTAGAGCACATTAAGAATCTAAAAAGAAGAACCCTTGTGCAGAAAACCTGTGAATCATTTGGGCATTGTTTAATAGGTCAGCGAGGTTCGAAGGGAAAATATTAAAAGCAGGGTTTTACAGTTTGAAGACTTTTATCACTGCTCTGTTGAATGCCAAGCGCCTCTGAGGAGCTCTGCCAGTTATTACTCAGGAGGAAGAAGGAACTCCCCATTTAATTAAAGCAGTTGGAGGTCAATGTGAACCAAAGTCCACTCGTCTTCTTTTGGCTAATTTCACGCCGGGCGCTCGGTCTCTTCCCTCCATGATGCTCCAAACCGCAAGCTGCCCGACTGC